TAAAACAATCACTTAATAATCACACCAAAAATTCACTTAAAAGACGACAATTAGTTTTAATGGAAAGAAAGGCTGCTTAAGCTTTCAAAGGAAGAAACTCTTATCAATATCAGACAAACTATGTACCACATTTCTCTATTATTAATTGCATGTCCTGCAAGACAGAAAGAGCTACGCCATGTTGGGTAGACCACAGTTCCTCATTATCAAAAAACCGAAACAAGGATTCCAAAACACGTCGGACAGTTGTAACTTCCTTGGCTAACTTGGCCATGTTATGCAGGCAAACTCTTGACCAAAATTTGGGATTCTCAGCTTCTTCCCTGTAATTATAATGGGGAAAAAGGTACTGCATATTAGCCATTAAGCATTCCATATGTACAGAGACTATGGCAATTGAAAAATTGTGACAAGAGCAATTACACAGACACATGAACTTCTCCATTCTCACTCACTATACTCCTCCAAGAAACACTTGCCATGGCATCTGCAGAAGAGAAACCGTCTTTGACACAGCCATTCTGTGTATCTTGCTTATCAGCATCTGATGTTTCTAAACCTCGGTAATTTTCCAAGACCACTGAAACGACCTAGTGTTTTGGGAAAAAGTAAAAGCAGCCTTAGAGTAAGTATATTGGAAAATGAAGCACATCACACATAAAAAGATAGAAGCCAGTGAAACAATGTCTATTGTAGATAACACACGCACAGATCAAAGCAACTCGTTAATTTTATTTCAAACTGATGATGATCTTTTCCCATTAGCTGTAGAGTTTTAAGCTTGCTTGCGGCTTTAAGGTTATTTTTCACTAAATTGATATAGGATTCCCTGATATTTTTAAGTTACAATTGTAGCATATACATTCTAGATGAAATTGGGTAGGAATATTGCATTCAATGGAGCTTTTACACCCTCCTTAATTTGTCAAAGGTGGTGCATTGGCATAAGAGTCTTAGTTGGAGTAAGATTAAGTTATCATGTCTTAATACTCATTTTATTAAGTAAAAGTTTCCAAATTTCTGGTATTTTCCGGTTAGGAGTCATAACCTTATACATGTGATTGCTTTCACCTAGGTAATTACTTCTTTTTTTTTTTTGAAATTTCACCTAGGTAATTTCTAATTAGAACCCTGCATTTTATCACCAAAATTATTTTAGTTCATTTAGTTGCTCTTCTTCAGCAGATTCCTTGATATTGTTAAGTTACAATGGTAATATATACATTCTAGATGAAATTGGGTAAGCATCTTGCATTAAATAGAGTTTTGACAATTTGTCAAAGGAGGCGCATTGGCATAAGAGTCTTAGCTGAAGCAAGATTAAGTTTTTTTTTTTTTTTTGCAAAGTGAGTAAGATTAAGTTATTATGTCTTTAAACTCATTTTATTAAGTAAAAATTTCCAAATATCTGGTATTTTTCGGTTTGGAGTCATAGCCTTATACATGTGATTGCTTTCACCTTGGTAATTACATTTTTTTTTTAATTCACCTAGGTTATTACTTAGAACCCTACATTTTATCACCAAGATTATTTTAATCCTGTTCTTCTTCAGCTTAGTGAGCGCTCACTGTTTCTGTAAGAAATAAAATCCCCAAAACCTAGTACCCCAATTCTTATCTCAATTTAGTGCCATATCATGGTGCCAAGAGATAGAAATGAATGGAAAAAGAATTTAAAAGAAAAATGAAAATATATATTAAGTAAAGGGTCCCAAGAAAACTCACATTATCAAATTCAGCTGAGACATGGGAGAACTCTCCCATGAACCAAACCTGTAAGAAGAATAATTAGAAGATTGTGGAATGAATCAATTCTTTCAAATGCCTAAGATCAAAGTCACCCATGGAAAGATGGACAAGAGAAAATAATGGCAAAATTAAGGGATAAACTATTGATTTCCTAATTGGATTGAGATGTTTTCTTATCTATGGAATCCATACTGTCTCCATCTGCTCTTTCCACCCAGCAATTTTGACAGAACCAATTAGTTATGACCTGAACTCCTGGAAAAACAAAAATAAATCTAGATCCAAGCTGCCCTTTGGCCACCATTGCTTCCAACTTCATTACACAATTTGCTCTTCTTTTTTGTTTCTAGGCCAAAATAACAATAACAAGGGAAAATAATTCTTGTTAAATAATCAATGATCTTAGTACTGCCAAATTCTTAATGCATATTAGGGAAAAGAAGGGCCACAAACTTCAGGATAAAAGTGGCTCTCAAATCCGTACTTAAATTGATTACAGGAGGCAAAGTTGAAAGAAAACAAAACTTGGAATTGTCATGAAAAATACTAGCAGAACGTATAAGGTTACCATTAGTCAAAAGGAAATCACTAAGAAAACGATGGGGATTTAGGTAAGAATTTTCAGTAGCAGTAGAAAATTACCACTGATGAAAGGGTTTGAAGACCAGCAGAACGCAAACGTTGTACTCTCCTGTCCTCTCCCATTTCTTGAGCTAAAAGACAAAGTTTCGGAATCAATCCATCTAAGTTGAACATATAAGTGCCATCCCTCTGGCTAGTCAAAAATAGTGAAAGATTAGCGTGAGGGGTTTCACTGGAACAATTAGAAAGAACCTGCTTCTTGAAATAAACAATTTATGCTATAAAGTGGCAAGAATTAATCTACCAGCACCTTCTACCTGATTGTTCACAAAAACAAAAAGAGCTTGGCATCCTAATACACGCGTCTCGTCCATTCTTGTTTGATCTAGCAGGATCTGCACAATGCTAAGAAAGCTACTTGCAAACAATGGCCTGCAATATAGTATATAACAACAAATATATATGTAAACTACATGATTGATATGCTGAAAGTACTCATCAATTTGACATGAGATATTAGCCCCTAAGGTATCCTGGTCCCAAATTAGCATAGCATGAACATTTAATGACTTGATGACTGACAATCATATGCATGGAAGATCAACTTTGACTTTTCTTGCAAATGCAAGCATGGGTAAATGCCCCTGGACTATAGAGGAGTACTTTATATGACCTTATTGCATGCTTACTTTCAATATAATGAAAAGAAACTCACATTTGCTCCTTACAAGAAATCATCAACTTCCTGTAGACACAGACGATAACTTCTACAGAGTGAAATTGCTCACTTCGCAAATCCCTGTAAAACCTCTGCTCCAATGAGCTTGTTATCTGATTTAAAAACAAATCATCAGAGGATTGAAAACTAGATTTTGAACATCGATCTATACTATGATTAATTAAAACCAAAAACAAAGAATAAACAGCGAAAACCAATGGCTTTAGCAAACCAACAAGGACGAGTGTAATCTTTTCACAGAAATGAATCACATAAAGAAACAATGTACGTACTACAATCAAGCGCCATGAATTCTTAATCTTGTCAGAACCAAAGATTTCCAAACGTGAAAGAAGGAAGCGTCGATGAAACTGTACGTACCTTTGGAATACGAAGTGGATTCTTGGAAGCGTATTCACATAGTTTACTGATCATTCGTTCATTTGGCTGTTCACCCTATCAATCACCATGCCAAAAATAAATTAAAAAAATAAAATACTGACCAGTTCCAGGCAAATTCTCACGAAAAACGTCTTAAAATATGAGAAAAAAATCAGAAAAAAAGATATGAAAGAAGAAAAGAAAGGCAGGAACCGGAGATCGAGGAAAAATATCGGCGAGTAATTTCTTGTAACGCTTGACGGGATGCCTGGATCTGGTGCTCAAGGAAGGGCAAAAAAAGCACAAACTCCCGCATACAGGCTGCATCACTCTCCTTGATATCAACCCCATACAATTTCTGTTCAAACATGTGTATGGGCCTCTCTCCCTCCCTCTTTAAATTCTCTCTTTAATATTTCTCATCATTTACGATTTATGTATATATGATTTCCGAGCTAGTCAAAATGATAACGAGCGAGAGGGCTTGATTCTTGAATCGAAGAGAACGAATTCTCGGGATCGGAGGGAATGGAGGATAAGGCTGGCCGAGGAAAGTATAACCGTGGGGGAAATGTAATTCCTCCTCTCTTTCTATTATGATATGTCGTCGTCCGCGTATTATATAGTCTTCGCTTTGCGATAATTATTTATTTATTATTTATTTTTTAATTGAGTTTAAAATAAAGTTTCAAGCCGGGCCCGTAGCGTAAGAGGTCGGTGGTAAATGGGCCGTACAGCTCCATTTAGCTTTTAATTCTAGACTTGAAATTGTGTTTTTATGTTTTAATTTTTTAAAAAAAATATGATAATTTTATTGGAAATTCCAATTTCGACATGAGATAATTAAAAAAAGAGACATTAAACTCATTTTATTTTGATTAGAAAACCAATTAAAGGAATATGTGATTATTTTAAAGGTTACAAATTTAAATATGAAGAATCTCTAAAAATTTTGACATGGAAAAAAGATGATATTTACATTTGGATTGTTATGATATTGAGATGGTCATGATGATTAAAAATTAAGTTAAAATCTGATATGTTGATACATCAAAGACAGAGAAAGCATGACAAAAAGAATGCTGAATGTTAGTTTGTTACTAGTTTGGTGCCTATGTTGATTGTTGGGTTTTCAGGATTTTCAGCTTCTCGATCACGGCCAATGTTGTTTTGGGATGTGTCTGTCCTGAGCAAGCTGTGAAATAGTTTGGACACAAGTCTTTAACGTGACTCCGTGTCCGATAGAGGCCTAGACTTGTTTTAGTTTGATATGTGGTACCATTGTCGGATGACTGTCCGAACAATTTTCTATTTGTCTTTGATTTTCGTCTAGGAATCTAGATATTCACCATTCACATGGCTCAATTCCCTCAACTTACTCCTTCATTTGCTCCTCATAAAGAGGCAACGATTTACATCCACTCACTCATCCTGGTGAAGATTCATCGGGACAAAGAAAATAGTGACAATTTACATCCACTTTGACAAAAAGAAGAAGATTTTCTAGCTAATAGGTATCCTTCATCAATTTGGAAAAGAAGAGGAACATAAAGGAAGAACAAGAGTCAAAATGTCAACAATGCCGAATACCAGTCACGTCGACTCCACATCCCAAAACGTCACGGTGAACCAGCAATGCTTGAACTTTGTAGCCGCCACTATGATGAGCGGGTCTGGAAAGTTTCTTGCTCTGATTTCGGCATATGTTCTAAGCAGGGTCGTGCACCACCTGTTGAGGCCTTTATCCCAACCTTACATTACTTCTGATCTTCTCGTATGTCTATGTCTCTCCTTCCCACTTTCTATACCAATTAGATTCCAATTATTTGGATTCAACATGAAAATAGATACGATGTTCATGATTAAAGCGCATTTAGTTGTTATGTTTCGTTTCTTTTGTTGTGATTGAAAGCTTTTTTTTATGATCTTCTAATGCATGCAGATAGGGCTACTCCTTGCTTCCCTACCACCTGTACGTGACTCCTTTGCGAATCAATTCACTCTGACTTTGGACAATATTGTTGACTTCGGCATGATCTGCTACATGTTCGTTTTGGGTCTAGAAATGGACCCTTACGTGATCTTCAAATCACCAACTCGCCATGCAATGGTGGCCTATGCTGGAACGCTCACCACATTTATCATTGCAAGCGCTATAACTCCATGGCTGCATTATTCAAGACATACAAACATGGTCAGGTTCACCATCTCGCTCTCCATCTATCTCTCCGGTAGTGGCTCTCACATACTGACCCGCCTCATAACCAATCTCAAAATAGGCAAGTCAGACATAGGAAAGCTTGGAATTGGTGCAGGGGTGCACTCTGATATGATCACCATGTTTTTCCTCTCCATCGGTTATATTTTCGTTCCAATGGGGGACTTTGCAACTCAAGAAGGAATTAAGGGTGCCATCAAAGTGGGTTCCGCACTTGTGATCCAGACAATAGTCGCTGCAAAGGTTTCACCAATCTTCATGAATTGGGTTAACAACGAAAACCCTGAAGGAAAGCCCCTGAAGGGCTCACACCTAGTGCTCTCAATGGCCTTCATGGCCGTCATTTGCACCTGTGCACCATGGTACGGTTACAACTCCTTCATGAGTGCGTTTATGGCAGGGCTTTTCCTGCCATCCGAGGGGCGAATATCGAAATGGGCGATTAACAAAATCAACTACTTGCTAAGCACACTGTTTTACCCACTTTTCTTCTTTTGGGTGGGGCTTAAAGTTGATTTCTTAAGTTTTCGAGCAGGCCATATAGACACATGGGGAAGGTTTTTTTCTCTTGTATTTATCACAACAGTTGGGAAAGTCGCTGGAACAGTCATCTGCGGGTTGCTGTTAGGTTACCACTGGCCAGAATTGGTAGCACTTGGTTTACTTTTGACAGCAAAGGGTCATTTTCACATATACTTTGCTATTTACGGACTCAGGGTTAGTTGCCTTCTTATTTGCTTCAGCTTATATGACAGTTGTATGAATTAGAACTTGGAAGTAAGATGACTTTAGTGATCAAAATTGATTTGTTTGTAATTGCTTGATGCAGAAGGAAATCATCGACGTGACAACCTGCATCTCGATGGTGATTGTGGTCTTCTTAACGATTGTGCACACACCATTTCTTGTGAAGCATATAATCGAACGTGCAAGGCAACGGGTACCAATTCACCGGATGGCTCTTCAGTGGCTTGACCCTTCCAGCGAACTTAGAATCTTGCTATGCGTCCATGGACCTCATAATTTGCCTTCCACAATCAACTTAATGGAGATCTCTAGAGGCACACCTGAGCCTGGACTTCTGGTTTACGTTACAGACATGATTGAACTCACGGAGCAATTAGCTGCAACGCTGGTGCAAGGTGAAGGAGTGGACAGCATGACAATAACCGACAAGTCGGTGACAGAAATGAGAGATCAGATCGGTCATGCTTTTCAAGCTTACATAGATGACAATGGCGGTGGTATCACGCTTAGCCGAATGCTTGCACTTTCAACATTCAGTGGCATGGCACAAGATCTCAGCGTTCTAGCAGAAGACTTGATGGTTTCCCTTATATTATTGCCGTTTCATAAGAGAGTGACTGCGGATGGTACACTTGATGGAGGGCATCCTGGTTTTAGATACGTAAATCGTAAGGTAACATCTCAAATTTAGAAAGAGTTTCATATTATCCTTGGTGATTCAGAATGATAGCAACTAACGATGTTTTTCTGGCCTGGTCTGGTCTGGTCTGTAAACAGCTGCTTAGGAATGCCCCATGCTCTATTGGAATTTTGGTGGACAGAGGTTTTGGATCTATCGAGAAAATATCAAGATCATCTCTAACCAATGTGGCAATCATTTTCATTGGGGGCAAAGATGATCGAGAAGCACTGTCCTATGCTGGTCGCGTAGCACGGCATCCTGGAGTAAAGCTCACGGTAATAAGATTCCTAGTGGACAAAACTTCAGAAAATGCACCGAGGAGAGTGAATCACAGAGCAAGTGTGGCAGAGCAAGAAGAAGAGATGAAGCTTGACGACGAGTGCTTTGCTGAATTCTACGAGAGATATGTAGCAGGTGGGAAAGTCGCTTATATGGAGAAGCATCTTGCAAATTCATCTGAGACCTACGCTAATCTTAGGTCTTTGGGAGGGCAATATTCCCTCATCATTGTAGGGCGAGGTGGGAGAGTAAATACAGTGTTGACACTGGGACTTAATGACTGGCAACAATGTCCAGAATTGGGTCCTGTTGGGGACGTACTTTCAGGGTCTGGTTTCGCATGCCAGACCTCCATTTTGATCATCCAGCAGCACAGTATTAAAGGACAACTGGATGGGCTAAGTGATGAGTTCTCCATTATGTAAACGGCAAAGCTAGTTAGGTAGTTTTAAACCAAGCCAGATTATTTGTAGAGATGTAGCTGGTAGGAAGAAGAAAAATATATATTCTTTCATCCACACTTGAATTCCAGACATTGTTAACTCAAGAAAACCCGCAGGAACAATGCTCGGAGACTAATGAATTCCTATGCGTTCCAAAACAGAGGTAACCTTCCTTCATACTACCGTTTGATGACATCACTATGGGCTCGGGGGCTTATTCCTGTACCGGAATGGCACTTTGCAGCCGTTCATGGGACCGTCACACCTGAGCTCTTAAATCAAAGGACTAGGAAGGGCAAATCAAATGAAGAAAAAGAACTATTAACGAAATTTCATATGCAATGATGCAGATATTTTTATTGCCCTCAATTCAAGCCGATAACTCCTACTGTCGTGAATGGAAGATAAGCCTTCATATCTAATTATTACGTGCTGCCCAAATGATTGACATACCTCACATTAGAGAACTGTGAAACTCATTCCAAAACATTCAGTACGCAGAACCTCCTATAATTAAAAAGTGTGTCCTTTCTCCGGATTATATATGGTCAATTTCAATTGACCTCCTACTTTCAGACCGTTTCACAACTCCTTAATGGCTTAACCATATTATTTACTCTAGCAATGCTGCTTTATTTACTCTAGCAATGCTGCTTCCTTCAAAGAACATTCTGAAACCCTGTTTTATTGACGATGCCAATTTCAATCATTCCAGAAGTACAGAACCATGGATCACTGAAGCACGAAGCATGAAGTATGCATACCTCAATCAGATGGAAAAACAAAACAAATGCCCAGGTAGATATGAAATACTGCACTTAACTAGCAAGAACCACCAGGAACCACATAATCAATTCACAGATAAGTAAAATATGGCTAGGGATCAGCTTAGTTAGAAAAACTATAATACAGAACGCAGAAGGTTTTTGTTTCTTGAACTGCTTCGAGACAGACTTCATAAAACTGTCATGACAAAGTCTCAATAACATAAATTGCTGCTTTTGATGCATCACAACTGTCAAAATGAGAAAGATGTCTCAAAGTAATCGGTTCACTTCCTTTTAAAGTCAGAACATAAATGCACTGGTTACTGATGTGCCTCAAATATGCATTAGTAGTCCCTTGAATGCTTTGCCAACTCAGCCTACAAAATTGAAATTAAAAAGTGTAAGGATGAAGCTCAATATAAGCACTAGTGCTTGACAAAACTAGCAAGATCGAGAATGATTTTTGACAGTAAAATATTAAATTAAATATTTTGACTGTTTGAGTAAATCCTTAGATAGGTAACACGCAAAGTGTTTGTGTATGCCTGTGCACATGTCTGTGTGTAAGAGGGAGAGAGAGAATTACAATACTAATTGGTCAAAGGTTACTGCCAACGGCCCTAAGGAGATCCTTCTATCAGACAAGTGCAGCTGTGAAGAAATCATATTGTATGCATAGCGCTACATGGAAACACTAATGATTAATCTACAATTAAGTTAAGGCACTTCATTTGTAGGGAATACGATATTTATCATAAATCGTCAGCACATAGGACATGTTCGAGATGTTGCACTACAAGAGAATCTCTTCATTAAAACTATGTTAGATTGTATCAACAATGTTGGACTTGGATGCAAAAACTTCATGAAACATAGCAATTCCCCTAAGCTAAATAACAGTACAAGTAAGTTAATGAAGAAACTACAGGCGTAACACCTCAAATGCATTCTTCAGATGATCAAGTTCCTTGTCCAGATCATTGATAGCCTGATTATATGCTTGCATCGGAGAAGACTGGCTAGTTGTGTGGATCTACAAAATTACATCAAATCAGTTAAAACCCCGAAAATTCAACACCAGATGCAAACCATAATATACAACAGCTGATAGCGTATATAAAGTCAGCCCTATTTGGTTCCGTAATACCTTTAGCCTAAAAACGAACAAATACTAACCCTAACAATGATTTTGTACTGCAGTGGGTGAGGAAGCTTGTAACCAGCAAACAAAACGTTCTCGTCTCTGTGCAATTGCCTGATTGTTTATCACCATTCAAAATTTTATGGCAAAATGAGGAAAAAATCAGAGCTTAATCCAGCTAAATAAACAAAATCAGACGAAAATTTGAGAGGGGAAGGATGTTATCTTGTGCGCGCACATTCGAACGATGTTGCCGATCGTGTGGTCTTCTCTCTCGATAGTGAACGACGCCGCATTGATTATCTTGGTGTCTCTCTCGTAAGAAACCCTAAAGAAATCCAACCGACAAAAAAGACAACAGTGAATTCGAGAGATTGAGGGTTTCCAGAGACAGAGAGTTTGGGATGAAGAAATTACTTTTTGGTGCCCTCGGGGACCACGAATCTCTCGTAACGATCGGGGGCATTCATGGTTTTTTTCCTTCTCTTCCTCTCTCTTCCTCCTCGGCGAGCTCTGTTTTTTCACTGCGCTCTCCCGCTTGAGAATGGTTCGTTTCGCCTGGGCTTGGCGCCGGTTGAAATGTTATGAAGCGGCTTCGAGATCGCGGGAGGAGCAAGCACGACGTCGCTTCGGTTTCTTTCTTAAGAAATGACTAATTGCATAACGGGTATATAACTTTTTGTTACTTTGATTTCATAAATAGTAGTATAAAAATATATATATATATATAAAAGGGAATATACCTAATTGCGTGAATGTTATATACCTTTTTATAATGATTTAATTTGATATCCAAACTAAAATCACAAAATTGCAAAAATTGAAAATGTAAACCATATGGTAAAAATCACAAGATGTCACATTAAGTTGATAATATGTTAACAATAGACAAGTTTAAATATGAAAATACTAATTATCAAGTTATATGTGTATATATGCATATATATATATATTATATAAAATTAATCTTTTATAATCTTTTAAACAATATTTCTTTCAATTTAATGAAAATTAATAAGTCTTTATTAAGTTCTTTGTATCTAGTGGCATTATTTTGTAACCCTAAAAATACAATTAACATTGCAAAACTTTAATTTTTACGAATTCTTAATTTATATATCCTATCACCATGTTTAGAAATCATCTTTACATTGTTATATTACAAGTTGCACCTATTTAATTTACACATAATTTCTTGTTGTCACATAATTTAGGCAAACGCTTGTATACTAATTACTATAAAAGTGTGAATTGTACACAATATTATGAAATTATAGTAAGAAAACCACAAAAAGAAGGAAAAAAAATCTAACTCTTTCTAATTAGACATCAAATCCTCTTTCTAGTTTTTTCTTAATTTACCTAACATAATAAGATAAGGTGAGAATTAGGTAAAAATCACAAAAAATCTAACTTTTACACTTCATTATTCATAAAAAGAAAAAAATAATTAGGCAATCTTTTTTTGTATAAAAAAAGAAAAATAAAGAAAATAAATGATGGTTTTTTGACTTATTTCATTTAATATGATACTTGAAATTTTGATCATTAATTGTCATTGTTTCTACAACGGATATAAAATGATATAAAATTTTAAACATATCAATATGTGTATTACTGATATACATGAAATTTTTCTCTTAAAATATAATAAAAATGAAAAAAAAAGGTGAGCAAGAATATTTTTTGACAAAAAAAAAAGAAATTAAAACCAAAAGTAATTTAAAGCATGAAATCAAACACTGACATGGCAGACTGTGATTGGTAAATCGAGATCCTAGAGGAGAAGGCCTTACTAAGTCCAGGTGGCAACGTTTCATGAGACAGAGGCGTTTACTTTGACCTAAACGCGCCGTATGGTAATCCCACCCTCTCCCTTGCGTAGTAGCGTTAAAATGAAACCAGATTCACAAAACCAAGCAAACAGAACCATAGCTACATGTCGCCGATTATTAATTTTACTCGTTCACTAAACCGAAAAAGAGAAAAGAAAAATAAAAAAAAAATCGGGGGGGGTTTTGCTTTTTTAAAGGTTTTAACCCGCGATATTATTTTAATTACTTTTTAAATTTTTTATTTTAATTTTAGGAGCGAGATCGCTAAATCTCTCCAAAACTCAAAAAATTCAAAATCCCAAAATCCCTCACTATGGCCTTTCACGTAGCTTGCCCAATTACATGGTACAATATCTTTTTTTCTTCATACACTCTCTCTTTAAAGAAAAAAAAAGAAGGAAAGGGCTCTCTCCTTCTTTTAACTGCCTCTCGAAACCTCGTTTTGTATTAATGTTTCTGGTTTCTCTTTGTTTTGTAGTCGGCGAATTTGCTTCTGTTCGCTAGGGTTTCCTCGGAATCTCCAGTCTCCCAACTCCAAGAATGGCTTCTTGCAGGAAGTGATTCGAGTCGAGGAGTTTCTGAAAGACCCCTGGGGCGTTAGGGTTTCTCGAGAGGGGACCGTGCAGGTCCCCGTTCCCAAAGTCGCACCCGTTCCGGCAGGGGATGGAGGCGGCGGCGGCTGCGGTGGTGATGCTGCAGAGGAGGCGGCCTCCGTGTCGGCTCAGGCAAAGCGACTCGCGCTTCAGAGAAAGGCTGCCGCTGCGATGGTGGCGGCCGAGGATTATGCTAGGAGGGTTGAGTCGGGTGATATTGCGGTAATACTCTTGCATTTGAATCTATACATTTGTTTAGGTATACGTCCATATGCATATGTACCGTATATATTAAGTTTTGCGTCTGAATTTTGGTTTTCGTTTTGAGTTAAATTTGGTGGAGTGTGAATTTTTGTTGTAATTGAGGCTTTAGGAGGTTAAGTTGTTCAATTTCAGCTACATTTAGGTTTATATTAGTAAGTTGACTTTTGGCCATATGTAGTCTGCAAATTTTTTGTGCTCAATTTGAGTTTGTTTTGCACTCTCTTTGGGTTGAATTCTGTTTGTTGTTTAGGTTATTCAAATTTACTATAGCAATATATGTATGTGTATGTTGATGACTAAATGTATAATGCTGGTTGATTGTTGATTGGATACTATAAAGCATGCGTTGGTAGTGATATCAGGATTCCAGTTATTGCATTTGAGCTAGATTTTGGGATAATTTTGCAGTTGCCGATCAGTCATTTGTAAAGTATGCTTTTTTATATTTGGAAATAATATATCTTTGCCTGTCTACGTGAAACTATGTATGCAAATTATTATAGAACGAAGG